TTGGCTCTCCAAGGGTCAATGTTGGATGTATTCCTTCATTAATTACTTCCCCCACCACTGGAGCTCCTCAGCTTGCTAGGCTGGCTGAGCAATGAGCACCAATGCTCATCTCTGCTAATGATTGGTTACCTGAACTCAGGTCCTCAGGCTTGCATAGTAGGAATTTTACAGGCTGAGCTATCATTTTACAAATGGACTATCCCTCAATTTGACTATTTAGTGGGAGATGAAGAATTTTCCTTCTGGAAATCAGGTGACTGCTTTGATGTCAAGATAACTCCATATTCTATGAGAGGCCAGCCATTGGTGCTAGCAGCCTGGTTGGACCTTCAGTCTGGCTTTGATGACTGACTGTCCTGTCTGCATCTACTGTGGACAACCTAGGGATATGGACAAGCAGACACTGATTGTTTTGCTAATTATCTAATGAATTAAAAAGAGCCATTTCAATAATAGTGCCCAACTGGTCTCATCTTTAAATGATGACCATAATTCTTCCTAAGGTCTAGTTCATGAGAAAATGGGCAGATAGCATGCAAGAAGGCTTGGAAATGGTACTGCTATAGAAACGAACTGTAAGACACATGGCCACAGCACCTGGAGTAGAGGAAGAAAGACAGTCTCACAATGACCTGACCGGATGCCTCCATCAAATACTCCACATCAAATCTGTACTTTGTCAGAGCTGCCCACCCTAACCCGTTGTTGTGACTATATCACATTCCACTTCTGAGCATCCCCACACTGAGTAACAGGTTCAGGGAAGAACACATGGTATTCACCTAGCCCAGACCCAAAGACACTTGGTAAGGCATAACTTGTAAGCTCGCCTAATCACGAGAATTTCTGGACTTCAAGCTCCAACATACAGAAAAACAGATATTATGAGAGAATCTGAACAATACAGACAGTGGAGAAGCATTCAGAGTCCTTTGAGGTGTAACTATGAAAATTACAACAGCATGGAGGTCACCGACTTTGGTGTCTATTCCTCGTGGCATACAGTTGGTTAAAAGCCTCTCTTTCTATTTATTTACCTTTTTCTTTAAAGGCCCATCTTCTCCCAGAAAGCTATTAAACACCGCACCACTTAATTTCTCCTCCCGGTAGAATCTGCCAGATGGAGTCGTTGTCCTAAGCCATGTGAATTTATCTTATTTTTAAAGAGCAGTGAACATTGCAGGAAACCAAAATAGCATGAGTTCCCAGGTGCAAGCTCACTGAGCAGAGGGACAGGCAAGAGTCTATGCATGCATCCACCTGGGCAGCTGTTCTAAACAGGCCATATTAATGAGGGAATAACTCTGGCTGGTGGCTTCTGGCCAGCTTCTGGTAACATCTGAGTGTCACTCAATGTAGAAGCATGCCACTTTTATGCTTCAGCTAAATTCTGCCACTTCTCACCTCCCTTGGCTGGACACCCTTGGGCTATGCATCCTTGGCTGCTCCTCAGACATGCTGCTGACAGATGAAATGACGAAGTGTACCCCAGAGCACTGAACAACCAGAGCAGAGTAGCCGAGTGTGAAATGGAAGTGTCCCTAAAGGTCCAGTAAAATATGCCTATCATCCCATAACATAGCTGGGTTAAGCTACTGTAACAGCATTATATAACACTCCTACAAATAAAATTTCCTCAACTGATGTACCCAATATGGAATGTTCCATGCACCCATACTAAAATGCATCCCCCCAAACACTTTTTCAATGAATACTAATAGTCCCAATACTCCAGTCACCCTTCAGGGACTCCTGGAGGTAGCATGGACCCATTGGAGAAGTACTATGTTTCTGGGAACTTGTTCCAGGAACCTTACTCCAAAGACTGAGCATGAATTTTCTGTAATCCCTCTTTTCTAGAATTGGGGGAAGGTGGAGTGAGTTGGGGGTTTTATTTGCAGGTTATTGTTGCCTGAACCCAAGCCGCAGAATGAAATTATAAGCATAAAAAGCATGAAGAAGAAAGATAGGGTTGGGAGAAGAGTGGCAAGCCTCCAGGAATAACCATTAATATCTCTCCTATCTGGTTCTGTATGAGGAAAGAATTGATCTATAGAAACAACTGTCCAAGATGGTGGTGGCATCATTGAGACCCAAGGAGTACAATAAAGATGCAGAGCACAAGCCTGGTGATACCTAAATCATGACAAAAGTTGACAAGTTAGCATTCCAGCCCAGTTCAGACAGACAATCCAATGCCCCCCATCTTTCATTGTCCCAACCTATATCCCATACTTAGCAGTGGAGACCTTTTTTGGGGGTAGGATGAGATGATTTTCTTTCACTGATGGAGGCGCCTTGGCCTGACTTTGCTCTGAATGTAGTAACCCCAGCTAGCATATTTGTCACAACCTTCAGAATGAAGGAGCTTGCAAATGATGACCATCCACATGATGCTCAGATTCAAGGGTTTTCTCCTTAAACCGGATCTCCCACACCAGGTGGAATGTGGAGGTTATAGTAATCAACTGACACCCTACAGACCCAAAGACCAGGACAAAGGAAAGGGAAATGCAGATAAACAGGTGGATAACCCTTTGTTCTTTTGGGCAAGTTTGTGATAATAGTTAAGAATATTTGTTTGCTTTTTCTCTAAATAAAAAGAAAAGTGTAGAATATTTTCCACTCCATTCTGTGAAAGTCCATTTGACACTGAGTGTTTAAACCATCCTATAGTCTTTAAAGAGCCTTGTACCTGAGCACTTTCAGGTGGTCCCAGGGTTGAGTTGCTGTGACCCTAAATATATAAATGTTTCAAGACAGAGTCTCTCTGTAGCTTTCAAGCCTGTTTTGGAACTCACTCTATAGACCATGCTGACCTTTAACCTACATAGATCTGCCTGCCTCTGCCTCCCAAGTACTAGGATTAAAGGCATGCACCACAAATGAACACATTTTAAAAATCCATCTGTGAAATGACACAATGGACTAGAGGTTTTAGAACTGTCCTTGTCCTTCATTTTTAAGAAGAGATATAGGGTACAATAGGTGCTTAGATGATGATAATTGAAAGTTGTATGGAAAGCTCATGTCTGCTTTTTCACGAAAGGAATATTAGTAAACTGCTACAGAGAAACTATTGTCATGGAGTAGAAGTAGACTATGGCCACTCTACTGGGTTTCTAGAACCATGAAGCATTTCCACAGACCCTGTGGTAGCTTTGAGATACAAGGCTGCTCACCAATCTTCATGTCCCTGATGACCTTACTCGCTGATGAGGTCTTCTTTCAGCCTCCCAGATATAACACTCTTCATTTCAAGTACTTGGAGAGTTCGCTATAGGAACCATGTGTGAGAAAGATTAAAGGCTTTTAGGAAGGCTTTGCAGACAGTCTGTCTCCAGAGAACCCCCAAGAAGGCAGATGCCAATTCTTTGATCCTCTTTTGAGTACTTTCTTTCATATCTTTTAGATGTAGACTTGTCATGCCCAGGTAGCTCAGATTTCAACAGAAACAGCAGCATGCCCAGAAGGTCTCAACCTCTGTATGGAAACAGCACAGATATAAGTTGTATCCCCCGGCCCAGGTATATTTAAACATTCTTCAACCCAGCAGGGCTCTGATTAAAAGACCACATGTGGAATATTGGTCTGGTTTCAAATCCCACATTGAAAGAGTAATGTTAGAAATGCAGTTATCGAAGAACCCCACCCCTTTAGGGTAGGTCTCGACACTGCATGATCCAAGGAATAATTGAGGACATCTGGGATACTAGATGTGGCTTGGCATGGCCAAAAGACTTTATAGGACCCTTTGTAAATGTTTTTTAAAGGTAGAAAATATGAGCACCTGGATTACTTAGGAGAGCAAAATTTGTCAAATACTTGGCTGGTGGAACAAAGACTTTCTGACATGAGAGCTCTGTGTGTTGGGATGTCCTATTGGGAAGGAGGAATGAAGAGTTGAAGCTGTGATACCAGCTGGGAAAGACTAGCAGTGAAAGCTATGAGCTTTGACATCAAGCTGGAAACAAGCTCAGGTTTCAACTTGGGTTTTATAAGACTTGAGGAAAACAATTTTTTTGTGTGTGTGAAAGTCATTTAATGTCTTCCTATACAAATGAGTTGTCAAGTAAGTGAACAAAATGGTAACACTAGTACTCAGAGTGTTGTAAACATGAAATTGGCAAGTTTTGTTGCTACTGCTATGGTTTAAGTTTGATAAATTATAGAGGAGAAAGCTTATCATTGCCTCCAAGTTCCTAAGTCCTCTGCCCTCCCAGTTCTTGTAGGTTCTATGCTGTCAAAGTCTCTGGTATCTTCTTACTAATGCTCTCAATGTGTCTAGAGTTTTTCTATTTTATCAGTGTCTCATGAATTCTTAATAACCAATATCCTCATTTTTACTTCCTCTCTGATCCCCATAATCTAGAGCAGCTTTCTATCTCTGGTCTTTGGACCTTTGCTTTCTTCTGTAATAACTAGCCATGCAATATAATGGCACAGTTGACTTCCCGTAAAAGTATTTTTCCTGCCAGGAAGGGCTCAGCACACCTGGTCAACTGTTGGTAATTGTTCAAAATTCTAAACAGTCATAGGGATAAATCTTTTACTAATGGGATTTTATAAACCATGACCAAAAACAACTTAGAGGAGGAATTTATTTGACTTATAATTCCAGGGAACAGGCCATTAGCATAGGGATATCAAGGCAAGCACTTAAAGTGTCACATCCACAATTAAAAGCAGAGAGAGAATAAATGCCTAGATCCTGACTCATTCACTCTTTGTCTGTACTTAATAAGCCCCCTCTGTTCTACTCATATCCAACTCAAGTCCCCTATCCAATGAAGTATGTATGTCACTGACAGTGGGGTGGGTCAACCTGTAATCAACACAGTCCCCTATAGACATGCCTACAGGCCAACCTAATCTAGCTATTTCCTCAATGGATACTCTTCCCTGGTGATTTTAAATTGTGGTAAGTTGACATCTAAAGTAAACCTGCACACTGAGGAATCTTAATGCTCACTGAGACCCCTGTCTTCCTTGTACCCCAGAATAGAGCAGAGCTACATGCAGAAGCGCTGGCAGGATGTGCGTGTGGGAGACTTTGTCCAGATGCGGTGTAATGAGATCGTCCCAGCAGACATCCTTCTCCTGTTCTCCTCAGACCCCAGTGGCGTTTGCCACCTGGAAACTGCCAACTTGGATGGAGAGACCAACCTCAAGCAGAGGAGTGTTGTGAAGGGCTTCTCACAGCAGGTAAGGTACTTTCTCTATAATCTTACATGGTGAGATCAGAGGCAAGCTCATCTCTTGGTAAACTGAACCTACACTGGCAAGAAGAGAGGAGAAGGTAGCAGATGCCTCTTTAGAAACTCATTCCTTCCAGCAACCCTCTGTGTAACTATCATGCCCATGTCACAGGTGAGAAAGCTAAGGGTTAAAAAAAAAAATCTGTAACTTGCTGATTAAATTCATCCACTGGGACAACCTACCTTGTATTCAAAACTAAGTCCTACAATTGCTCAGTTACAAATGCAGCCAACCCTCTCCTCGGTGCTCAGCATACCCTGCTCATTCTGACCAGCTCAGATCTGAGCATGAATCTTCAGTATTCCTCTGGCTCCTGAGTATTAACCACAGCAGGATAATTGTAGTTATTTTTCGTGTGTGTGTGTGTGTGTGTGTGTGTGTGTGTGTGTGTGTGTGTTTTACAACATCAGGTCTGTCCTCAGAAGCCATCTACCTGTTTATTGAAACAGGGTCTCTCATGAGTCTAGAATTTACTGAATAGGCTATGCTAGCTGGCCAGCAAGCTCCAGGCATTCACCTAACTCTATAAGGACACACCATGCTCAGCTTTTTTAAAAGTGGGTTCTAAGGATCAAACTCAAGTCCTCATGCTTGCACAGCAACCACTTAACCAACTGAACTATCTCTCAGTCCCCATTTTTCCCTTTTGTATGCCTACTTTATTGACAGTGCTAAACTTCTCCTGGGTCAGAGAGCTCTTGATGACACTTTATTTCTTTTTTATCAATTTTAATTTAAAACAATCTTCTCTCATTTTACATATCAATACCATTTCCCATTCCCTCCCCTCCTCCTGCTCTCCCCACCTTCCTCCAACCCGACCCCCACCCACTCCTCAGAGAGGATAAGACTTCCCATGGGGAGTCAACAAAGTCTGGCACATCACTTTGAGACAGAACCAAGACCTTCCTCCCTATATCTAGGCTGAGCAAGGTAGCCCTCCAAGGAGAATGGGCTCCAAAAAGCGAGTTCAAGAACTAGAGATGGAGAAATTCTAGTCCCACTGCCAGTTGCCCCACAGACTGCCCAAGCCACACACTGTCACCCACATTCAGAGGACCTAGTTTGGTCCTAGGCAAGTTCCCCCACTGTCAGTCCAGAGGACATTTTTGTTATTTCTTACACTTAACAAGAGCAGTGCCCGAGGGTAGAAGATATACAGATAGTTTGGTGGTGACCAACTCCAACTCTAGGTTTTAATAGAACTATTTTTATAAGTTCTGTCTCTCATAAGCTGTACCATTTTACACAATTTCTCATTCTCTTACACCTTGGTTCCTTTATCAGGAAAAAAAAGAAGGCAAAAATAATACCTTTCCCTTAGAGTAACTCTAAAGACTAAATGGTATAAACTGAGTTTACTTGGCATGGACATCTCACTGAAAGCCTGGGAAATAGTTGCTATTAATATTGGTGATTTTCAAAAACAATTTTTGGCTAATTGTGAATGCTATTCTAGTTTTCTATTAAAATCATGACACCTCCCTCTATTGATGGAAAAAGACAATTCTGTCACTTTTTATAATGCCAACTTTTAGCTAAGGGCAAATTAAATAATTCAGGGGCTTTGGGAGAAAGAAAGCAAATGTCCCATCCCTCTGAGGGTCTCAAAAGCTGTAGGTCTATGCTATCTACCATTTCTCAAGATGAAACACTATGTTCTGCCTCAGCTTGCCACCTCCTCGGTACCTGAGGAGCAGATCTCAAAATATTTCCTTCCTATGTGATTCACAATCATCCTAAGTCTGGTCTTATCTCCACTTGTGGACAGCAATGCCAGCAGATATCCCATAGCGTGCTGTGAACATGAGCTGGAATAAGGAAAGCAAGAAGCAAAATAAGGGCTTGGTACCTGCTACACATACACTAGGTGGTCTCTATGGCCATCAGAACTGGAACCCACCTTACCACATCATTGTCACTGTAGTGACCACAGCTCTTTGACTCTTGGTCTCTGAATGCCATTGATCTGGCTTGGCCTCTTGAGTTCTGTTTTCCTTGGCTTGTCCCTCTCCCATTCAGTGAGTCACTTCAGGGTTTACACAGAGGGTGACAAATGTCTAGTATACAGTCACAAAGTCCTTCAAGGTAGGCAGGAACAATCTAGATCTGGACTTGGGGCCCTGTGACCTACTTCCTTGATCAGAAACCGTTTTAACTGATACTTACAGTCAGGACTACACATTAACATACACCCACAATGTGTGTACAAGTGAGTCTGACACCTTAGTCTGTAAACAGGCAAAAGTATCTTTGACTTGGTATTTGGTTCTGTTCATCTTTTAAGTTATTTCTAGAAATAATAAACTTTTATTTGAGTAAACATCTTTAAGCTCTCTGACTTCACCATACTCATTCAATATGAAATCTCATAACCCCTCTCATCTCAAAGCTGTTGAATATCAGCCATTGATGTTTCTTCTTCCTTTGGTCTCAGCTCCTAACTGTTTCTATTAAACCATCAGATACATTGGGATTTAACTAAAGTGAAGCTAGGTGAAAGAATCCTTCATGCTCCAGGACCTCAGCCATTCAGTTCAATAAACATTTCAAATTCCCACTCTGTATTCTCATTGGGTACTAGGCCTTTCTTTAATAGGTAAATTTATCTGTGAAAGGAAGGAGATTTATTGGCTTGGCTTCTGGAGCTCTTTGTCCTTGTCCTGATTTCCCTTTGCTCAAGAACATTTGTGATTCACTAATGACAAGAATAAACTTGAGCCCATGGTTACAGTTTTGCATGATTAACTTGTCCTCACAACAGTCCAATGGATGGACATCATCATCATCCTCATTTTACAAATAAGGAAACTAGGACATAGATAAGTCACATCTTTCACCCATAGTCACTAAGCTGTAGAGTTAGAACCAAAATTCAAAACCACATTTTCCATAAAGTCTCTGGTAGCTTCCCTTCCAGGCCCGTCGTCTATTACCTGGCATTTACAGAGGGATGCATACAGAAAAGCATGTATTTATCATTTACAGATTCTTTCCAGACATAAGTAGCAGGGTGCTGGAAGAATAAAGTAATGGGATCAAAAAGGATTAAATCCCAGCCTACTCTCCGAACAGGAGGAGTCTCGTCTGGTCTCTGCTTTGCTGCTTTCCCTCTATTACCTTTAATGCATAAAATTTCTGGATATGCATAAAATTCACTATTAGCTAATGTTGTACCACAGAGATTCCTCAATGCATTGAATGAAGATATGCATGAGAGTTGCAAGAAAGGAGAACACTACAAAGATAAGAAGATAATAGGCTACACAGTTTGGATTTATCTGATCCTTTAGTAAGCCCCAAGAAGGAGGAGAAGGAACATGGAATTTTTATTTATTCAAGCACAGAAATGTTTTATTCCAAGGAACAGATCCCAGAACTGCCATTGGAAGGGTGGGATCACTCTTAGAGATTTACTGCAGATACATGGTGGGTACTGAGAATGCATCATCACTATCCCTGGAGAGTTTTCACAAATATGCATATCCTTTCCTTTCCTATTGTCACAATAAAAGAATGACTTACAGGACCTGGACATGCATAACTTGAAAATATGCCCCAAATTATCTTTATATAAACTCACTGATACCTTCCTGAAAACTGGGACAAAGGAAAGGCAACATTCTAGTCGTTAGGGAGACTACAAATTGTCATCAATCCATGTACTTCTTACTGCATGGCCACACTTCTGAACATGTTATCCTTTGAACCCATACAACCACTCTGTGAGGAGGACATTAATTTACTACCCTTATATAAAAGATGAAAATACTGGGGAACAGGAAAGGGAGGTCTCACTATTTTCTCAGAAGATTTAAACAGCTAATATGGTTTGTGTAGGAACTTAGTGTCTTAAACCAGTTGTTTTGTTAACTTATTTTCCTTCTAAATTTCTATAATCCATGAGACCCTTATTCTCCCTCAAAGGACTTTTAGTTAACTCAGAAATTGCTAGAAGTCTCCATTTCACATAATATTTCCATCAATCTGAAATGGTGAGAGATTGAAGATGGTTTCCTTAGATAAACATTTCCCAAGACAAACCATGCCAAACACTGCCCCAAGTTCTTGAAAATTATGGTTCATGGTCAAGTTACATTAATAAGCTAGTACACCACTAACACAATCCTCATAAAGGGTTCAAGATACAATATGTATCTTGAGGAAATTTTTCAAAACAAATACTTGTTTGCATTCCTATGAAACTTTATAAAAGGGTACAATAACCTTGATTTGATACAAACATGATTATGACATGTGAAAGGGACCATTCTCCTGGCCCAAGCAGTTCTGTCTTTTCTTATCCAAATGGAATTACAAACATCAGGAGCCTCTGCTAAGTGTCTCCTTTCCAGGACACTGTGGGGACCAGAGTTGGTGTCCAATCCTTTTCCAAGAACTAAAACTAGGTCAAAGCCATTACATTTCCACTGGGTATCTTCCTTGGGAGCCATTTTTGAATTCACAAAAACCATTGGCCTATTTTTGAAATAATAAGTCCCATTTCACAATGCCAAGGAAGAGTTGGGAGCAAACACTCCAATATTATGACTATGCTGAGTTCCACGCCCAGCAGCCAAAAGACTTAACCAGGGAGTTAACTTATTCACTTTTTTATTTGTGACATTCTGAATCTTGAAGGCCCTAGAAATGAATATCTTTGCCTCTTATTTTGGTAAATATAAAAGTTACTCAAACAAAAGGATCAGAAATAAATTTTCCTCATCAATACTCTAGATCAAGTATGTTCTTGATTGTCATCTAAATAACTGAAACCTAAGTCTTACTAAAGCATGTATCCAATCAAGTTCCAGGAATATGCTAAACTAAACCATTAGTTTAGGGCTGGCCATTCAGCATTATCTAAGAGCTACTCAGCAGTAGGGAATTGAAGTAATTCTTGCAAGAGTCCCTAGCAATTCCTGTGCTTATTCAACTTTGAAAAG